GGCTTAAAACCCTGAATTTTGCCTGAAACTCTCAGACTGAAGAAGTCTCTTGGAGGAGAGACGAAACGTTTCATTAAAGAAGAACCCGTCCAGAAGACCTATACAATTTTTTTCTTTCATGTTTAGTGATATTTCTATAACATTTCTGTTTTATAAACCTTTACAGTCAGTGTAGTTTTACACAGTTAAATACATAGAAGTTTGTAAATACCTGTAAGTGCATATAGCAGCAGCAGCTAGCTGTAGCACTGCCATTGCATCCTGCAGGAACATCAAAATGTTTCTGCTAGAAAAAGAAAATAAAAAAAACTGTAGAATCTCACTCTGAAAAGTTCAAACTATACAGGAAGCATCAGATGAACGTTTCAATAAAATTGTATATTTTAATTTTTAGAAACCTCCTGTGAGTTTTTAAACATATTTTATTAGGGAAAATTAAGACAATCCAAAAGTAGAGGTGCTGTGAGGTCATAAAAGGGGCAGAGCTGACATTAAACACTCAATAAACCAGTAATTCTTCTCTCTGCTCGTAGCTTTGTTTTATTTGACCCCAACTCCCAGTTTCTGCAGGACCCCCAGGCCTTTCTCCTGGTACTCCTGTCTGCTCAGCCAGAAGGAGTCCTTGTCTTTCATGATGTTGGCGAGCACCGCGCCGCCCATGAACACCATGTGTTTACGTCTGGGCGGGTCCTCGATTCGGATCTTGAACTTCTGTAGAGGAGAGTAACGTGAAGGAAAGTCATTGGTGCGCATTTTATGATACCTTTTCTGTGCCACTCTAGTTTTTACAATAAAGGGTTTACACTAAATATAGAAATATAACCTTCAACACTATACTGACAAAACATTTTAAGTTAATTTTAAATTCAGGACCTAGTATTCTTTGAAGGAACCATCTCATGTTGAGAAATGACAGAGTTAAAGCTGTTATTGTCAAGCATAAAAAATCAACGTTATGTTCAATCTTAAAAAAATTTAAAATCTTGTGTGAGCTGACATGACAGTATGAGTTGAGGATGACACTCAGCGACTACTACATCAAACTTTAAATCAGTATCTGCAAAACTGAGTTAAAGCCATTAATGTGTGCTCTAAGTTCAGGTGGCTGAGGCATCCATCTTGAATTGGGTTGAAACCAAAAGTCGATCAGTTGCAGATGCCTATCCAGTGATTACTTTCTTACAGTTTCATCAAAATATGTCCAGTGGTTCTTTAAATATTTTGCTAACAGACAAGCAGAGTTGACTTCACAAGTTAATGGCCATGTTTTAAGTGAAGCTGTTGCATCATCAGTTAATGCTTTAAGTATTTGTTAGCAATGACTCTCAGCTATTACCTTACTAAAATCTGTCATAATATCTGTAAAAGTAAACGAGTTGTAGCTTTTTTTGTGTTTGCTAAGTTTGATTAACTGTYGTGGCCATCTTTAATCTGGTTGGTTCGAAAAGTAAATCTGTTGTGGAGGTATGTCTAACGATTACTTTCTGACAGTTTCATTCAAATCTATCCAGCGGGGCCTGAAATACTTTGCTAACAGACGCATTAAACACAAACAAGAAAACATTATTGGCAGTGGTAATTTCAGCACATGGTAAAACATTTTAATCTGAAAGTTCCTTCGTGCCTTTGGAACCACCATTAACAGACCAAAACGAGGTTCTTACTGATAGTTTCTCTGTGTCTCCGTTCAGAACCCTCTCCAGGTAGAGCTGCTTGATCTCTCTCTCCAGTCTGGATGGGAGGCCGGGGTACATGGTGGTCCCGCCCGACAGAACGATGTGCTTGTAGAAGTCAGCTCTGCTCAGGAGAAGACAGGGAGACGTGACGTCATATAAACACCGATGATTGTCAAAGAGGCATCAGGGAGGAGCCTCAGACCTGAGGTCGATGTCTGCAGCCTGGATGGTGTTGAACAGCAGCTCGGCCACCCCGACTCCCTCCACGTTGATGAGATGAGGCTGGAAAAGGGCTTCGGGGGCCCCGAAACGTTCCCCGCCCACATTCACCTGACGCCCATCTGGAAGCTGCAACAAAGACAAGGACCAGTGGAATATAAATGTTGGGCAGTGGGATTCTGTGGACAGGTTATTAACAAATAATATCTTACTTGTTAGATGGCGCTTTTTCATTATGTCAAAGGGCCAAGACCAAAGTTGGTTATTGCCTTAAAGAGAACTTTGACTAGCTGTAATATTASATATTATTTGATGCATATTTACTTCAGCTATAAAAACCAGACTGTAAAAATAATGTAGGCTGTTTGGTTTTATGAATATAAAAAGTATGTCTGTCCAGCTTGAACATTATTTTGGACGAAGACTGATGTTCAGCTCTTTAAAGTGAAAACAGTTGTGCATTGACAGAGAGGAGAGTGTAGAAATGATAATGGATGACAACAGAGCTGCTTCATGGAAGAACCTCAGTTTAGCCTGTTAGCTTTCGTGTTAGCTCCTGAGCTAACTGGCAATATATGGTGTTAGCTCCTGAGCTAATAACATTAGCTCATGCACTTATGCCATATTTATAGTAGTAATTTATATACAGTATATGGTGCTAGTTACCAACCTAATTTACTGAACATCATGTTTGAATGTTTCAACCCATATATTAGGTAGAACGAAGAAGCTAGTACAAAATATAACTTTGTTATCACACATTGTAGCTTTTTGGCCATGACTCTTCATCATCCCCAAAATGTGTTGCATCAGTAACAAAATGGTGATGTGCACAAGTGAAAGAAACACCTTTTTAAGTAATTARTTTTTTTTCACGTGTCACAAATAACATTTAATTGAATATAGCGATAACAACATATTAAAGCTAACACGTGCAAGAAGTCAGAGATCTTTTTAAACATATCCCAATCAATTCAAAAACCATTCAAAAATGGTTTTAACTCTCTACTGAGCTCTGAGATTTGATGRGGTAGTAGCTGAGAGTCATTAACAACACATACTTTGCGTGCTAACAGATCACTATGTGAAATATTTCATAATGTTAGTTTGTAATATTTACCATACGATGTTCTAAACTCAGACATGAAGCCAGTGTATGGAGTGTTAAGGGTGACAAAATTAAATAAATAAATATACCATAAAATAACTAATAATAACCCCCATTAATTATTTAAATGTATCAAGTTATTAAATACGTTATTAAATAATTGACTATATAATTTAATTAATAAATACATCATTAAATAATATATTTAGTTGTTCCTGCAGAAATACAATATTCTTGCAAGCAATAGGACAAAGAGCTATACACTATTTTTACAGTTTCCATACGAATCCACTTCAAAAGACCTAAATGATGTTATTTCTGTAAAGCTTTGCTGAAGTTGCTCCTAAACGTACCGTGAAGGACTCAACCAGGTAGGTGGTCTCTGTGGCCAGACGCTGCTCCTGCTCAATGTTGTACCCCACGTAGCAGAGCTTCTCCTTCAGCAGACGCACGGTCTCAAAGTCGGCCGTGTGGTTGAAGGCGTAGCCGCGCAGCAGCAGGAGCTGACGGGAAGGATTAAAAAAGGACTTCTTTTATCAACATTTAAAAAAAAAAAGATTTCTGATTTGACACACACACTTGTTCTTTTTTAGCACACCTTAATCAGGTAACGAGTGATTTCACGTCCTGCGATGTCCAGTCTGCGGGTCAGGTGCGGTAAAGAAAAGCCCTCGTAAACTGGACAGATGTGGGTGACGCCGTCTCCCGAGTCGATAACAACCCCAGTGAGCAAACCTGTAGGTGCAGATCATGAAGCATTTGTCAACAGAAATGCTCTCAAAACAAACTGTAAAGGTCAAACAGGTCCTTCCTTACCCTGGGCGTACAGAGTGAGCACTGCCTGAATCGCCACGTAGATGCCGTGGAACTGGTACTTTTCAAACATGACCTCGGTTATTTTCTCACGGTTCTTAGTTGGGTTCATGGGTGGTTCTGTCAGTAAGATCTACACAAACACAAACATGCAAATTAATCATGTGGGGTTCATAAATCAAGGGAAACCTAACAATGAACTACTAGAGATTGTCCTTAAATTACATGGATTTTCCTCCCTTTTACAGGTTTGCTAGCCTGGTTAAAACCAGCMCCTTGTYCTTCACTTTGCTTCGGACGAGGGTCTGAACTCTCGGCTATAGAGAAGKGATTCTTGCTGGAGGCGTGGCCTCTGTTGAAGTTTAAAACGATTGGATCTGCTGGCTGTAACGTATGTTGCTGTGAAGGAGACTGTGCTAAGAAGCAAAAACGGAAATTGCGTGTGCTGTAAACAACCCTGCTGAGAGGAGAAATATACCGAGCTGAACGAGACGGCTGTAAATGAGAGCTGCTGCTTTGTCAGACAAATTTTATTTAATTTGGAAGCCTTATCAACACAGACTGACTTCATTCACTTCCTCCACTGCCGTATGCTAAACTAACTAGCAGACACTGCACAGAAAATCAACGTTGTTCAAAGCTCCACCTTCTGTTTGCTGATTGGCCCAGGTAAAATAAACTACAAGCAGACTGCGCAGAAAATCGACGTTCTGTTCTCTGATTGGCCCGGCTAAAAATCTGCCAGCGAAATCCTTGTCTATGGGAGAAATSCCAGACGGAGCAGTGAAAGGAAACTAGAATAGCCTATATGCCACGGTCATTAATGACATACTGTATTTCCAGTAAAAATCGTGCCACGCTCTTCCACTCCCTGCTTACTGCCTATGTTTTTAGCGTAAACTCCTGGAACTAGTCCATGAAAAAGTCACAAAAGTTAAAGCATCTGTGATCTTCTGGCATAAAACGTGAGTTCTGTTGTGTGCCGTTGTGTCCACTAAGCAGCAGGTGCGATCGAGTAGTTAGTTTTTATCCATTTTCCTCTTGATGAGGAGGTGACAGCAGTGGATCATTACAGGGAAAACTTATCTTTAAAAGCTCACGCTTGCGTTTGTAATCAGCATTTCTAACCTGAGGATATTCAAGAGCCAGCATCAGAAATGAGAAGACGAGGTTACAAAAGGGAAATGTACATTTATCCCCTTTTACTGCCAAGACGAGAGAGGAAAGACCACCTCCACACGACAGCTAGCAGGAAGCTAACACAGCAGCCCAGCCGGTACAAACAAAGGTAGGTGTGTGTGTCTGTGTGCGCGCGCGTTTGTGTTACATGAAATGTTTTTATGCAACTTTGTCATGAGTTTTATGCAAAAGTAAAACCTTGTTAGAGTGTATATTACAGCGTAGACTAAAGCCAAGTGACGAGTGTTAAAATGTTGTTTCTATGCAGGAAATACCACGTAGAGCTCAGTTATTGTTTGTTAGCAGTGCTCAGTCATAGCATTGAGAGGAGGAACGTGATGTTTTGTGCTTGGATGAAACGCTAAATGTTAAAGTTAAAGACAAGTGGTTCTTTGAGGGCCACCATAATGTTGTGGCCCTGTAGACTGTACCTGCTCCACTGCAGATGCTGTTATCCCACAAACCAATGCTAGACATTCATACRTTTTCATGGTTAGCTCAACTTTTACACTTAGAATAGGAAGTTGTATTTAAATCCTGTGAAAAGGTGCAAATAAAACATTGATTTATTTTTTAAATGATGTTCTTTAAAACCCATAAGAGCCAGGCTTTGGGCACACCTTGCACTCTGATGGGTTGATGTTGAGTCGTTCTGGGCCGAAGGTGTAGTCCCACAGGTGCAACATGTCCTCCCAGGAGCGCACCATGCCATTCTCCATGGGGTAGGACACCTCCAGCATGGAGCGGCACTCGCTGGCCTCGTCCCCGACCATCAGATCCTGATAGGAGAGGTCAAATTTTATAAAAATGTTTTTGTTTCTGAAACGTCTACCTCTCTCATATTTATTCTCTTCAAAACACAACTCTACCTCTCAAGGCTCTCTTCCACCTGCTCCCTACTTTCACTACAGGTTACTACAAACTGTGCAGTTGAAGTTCTGTGTAAGYTGAACCTACAAGTCCTAATTTATCAGACCRCGATTCCCACCTTAATCTCGATGTCGCCCACTTTGGTGGTGGATCGTATGATTGGTCGACCCACCAAGGCGGGGAAGATGTGCTCGGGGAAGTTGGAGCCAGCGAAGCCACACTTGACGAACTGTGCGGGGAAGTGAAAGAGAAGCACATGAAGGATGTTTATGCAGAAAAAACATTCTCATTTCCACATGTGGACTGAAACCAAAACTTTTCCCAGTCCCAAACTTAAAACTCACWTACTCTTTGAAGCTGTTCTGTTCATTTTATTGTTGTGCAGAGTTTACCAAGCAGAACACTTTTATAAAAATGGCCCCAAACAGTTTTTCAGCAAATTATTACACATTTAAAATTAGCGGCCTAGCTTTTCTTTTCATTTTACAGTTTTAAACTGGCTTCATCTTGTGTTAAAAAGGATGGCGTTATAACCATTTAGATCAAACCTTGAAAATAACGTCACCCAGAATCTCATGCAGTACTGTGTATGTCTTGTGGATGACTCTCAGCTACCACCACGAAAAAGCTTAGCTCAGTTTCTGTAAATTTGACTGAATTGCAGCCATTTTTGTTKGCTAAATTTCACTAGCTTTGGCAGCCATCTTGAATTGGACTRGCTCCAAAATCTAATCAGTTGTAGATGTGCATCCAATGATTACTTAATGAAAGTTTCATTACAATATTTTTAAAGGTTTTTAAGATATGTTGCTAACAGACAAATGGGGTTGACTCGTATAGTTATTGCCAGCATTTTACACAAAAATTTTGCACAATGTGTGGATCTTAATGTATGTGTTGTAGATGAATTTCAGCTACTATGGCACCAGATTTTAGCTCAATACCCATACATTTGACTCTATTATGGCCGTTTTTGTGTTTTTTAGAGTTAGTTAACTATGGTGGTCGTCTTGAACTGAGCTGGTTCCAAAACTTAATCAGTCGTAGACACCCACCCTGTGATTACTTTCTGGGAGTTTCATTGAAATCTAACCAGTGTTTCATAAAATATTTTGCTAACACACACACACACAAAAACAGAAAATATCCTAAAAACCGTACATCTGTCTGCCAAGACCACACCTCCTACTTCACTGTCTCAACTTGTCTGTGTGGCTATGCACACATTCCTTAGCCTGAAGCAGTGCTCTGCATTCCTCACTAAAAAAAAGATAAATAATAATAAAGATAGATGGACAAGTGTGTTTTGTTGTTGTGCAAAGTTGTCCGTTAAATGCTGCAGAATCATCTTGAACAGACTGTTGTGATTTTGAGCATCTCGATCACCTCTTCCTGTTTTTCAYCCAATGGATTCACTTCAAAGCATCGTAACCATTTATGGATGTTTTGTTAAAAAAAAAAACAGTGGTGACAAGCCCAGACATGGAGACACGATAAGACAGTTTCACAACCTGTGGCTCACTTTACAATCCTGATGGGATTCTRCCAGTTTTAAAAATGACAAAAATATTCATGTAATCTGTGATTTATGCAGCWRTTACAGATGARGTTGATGGAAAAGAAAAGCAGAGAATAACCTGTTAATGCAGAATGAAACAGACTCAAACTTACCCCTGTCCCATTGTCACACACCACCACCTTCCTCCCCTGGTTGTCCATGCTTTATGTTGCAACCAGCTCCAATTCTTACTCCCAGCTGCCTGAACTGGAGTCAGACTAAACACTTAAGAAAAATAAGGTTAGTGCACATGAGTTCAGCAGTGATGGCAGCTGACTGACAGGTAGGAAGAAGTCCTCTTGCTGCTGCTCMTTCATGGGCGGGATTACGAAATGTGCAGACACCCATTCGGGTCAAGGAGGAGGGCAAACAGAGATGAACACAGGTATTTACAGGTGAGTCTGGTTTYTTCAGACTTACTCAGAAAAGACTTTACTCTGATTATGTTTGCAATGTTTCCCAGGAGAGATGAACTTAACTATGTTTTTTTTATTTTCAAATGTCTAGAAATTGCACCATCTTATTATACAGTGAGGTTAAGCTGAATGAACTTAAACATTTTAAAAGGTAATATCACAACAACAATCATTATTTACTGTGTTATAAGTAGGTGCATGCAAATGAGCTGTTGCCAGATATAAAGTGAGGAACATTTGTCTTTGCATAAGTGATACTACTAAAATCTCAGCCAGCAATGACACTAAAATGTCCCAAAGATCAGAAAGTCCCCCTTTACTTTTTTAAATGTATAACAAAGCAAGCCCAGTGCATCATTTCAATGTGATTTTAAACTGAGCTGAGCTAAAACAGGAAGAGCCCCCTGCTGGTAGGAAACATTATWGCAGCATCCCTGGTCAATACAAATGGTAATCATTTTTGTTTATGTCTGTAAAGAAAAAAAAATTGCATAGCCTCAAAAGCAAGCTATGTACCTTACAAACGGAATATCTTTCTGGGATAACTTGATGGTAACAACACCAGCGAACTTTCTTGATTAGCTGGCTAGCTGTTAGCTTGTTAGCCATAAGCTGTTAGCTTTCCAACATGTGGGTGACTAGTATTCGAACTATTGACGAGTGAGGAAGAGTTTCTGATTATCATTTTTATTAGGATATTTTTTTATTGTTTTATAAAAGGATAGTAACTTTGTTCTATTTTGTATTTTAAACCTTTTATTTTCCATGGGAAGGTAACCCAGGCGCCATCTTGGAAATGTTCAGACAGGAAGAAGAAAGCTTTACGTTCAACTGGACTTCACTGTGCAGCAAGAGAACCACATGGTTTGTTCATCTGGATAATATCACCCAAATAAGTAAGTATTTTCCATGACTCTTTCTGCTTTTTGCAAATGTACAATATATATTAGGAGGAAAAAGTATTTCCCTAGTTTTGTGTTAAGTTGAGTTACTGGAACTGGTGCAAAAATAATAACAGACACTCACAACAATAATTTAAAAATAGGTGCATTTATTTACAGAAAACATTTACAAAATACACAAATTCTCACTGTAATGCATAAACTTATGAGAAATGACAGTTGTAAGAAATACATCATCATGAAGTAGGCTACTGCGACTGGGTTTTAGATAATAGGCACATATGTTTTGAATAGGTGACTGTTTTACATATTTTTGCTCATTTCTTTTGTTAGCTCCTGATGGGCTCAGAAGCATTTCCAGCAGCTCAGTTTCCTTCATTCAGCCGGAACAAGAGAAGTGAACAGGTACAGTGGCTGTTCTCAAAATGATTTGTATTTTAAAGTGCCTGTGACATCAAACGTTTGAAATAAATATGAATGTGTTTTTTGGAAAGATAACATCAATAGAATACTGCAAAAATAAGTGAATGCTGCTGAGATGAACAGTTGTTGGACTATTCACGAGCAGTAACAGGAAGTGATGACAAAGGGGGGAGGCCTGCATGTGAGCTGTGTCTACTACAGCTAACGACACAGACTGCAGAGAAGATTGATGTTTTTTAGATTATTTTGAGTCATTATCAGAGAAAGACAAAGAAGAGTCATAGTTCAAATAATATTATTTTCATAAACAAAAAAGCAGGGAGTTCCTCTTTTTAAAGAGTTCCCCTTCGATGTCACTTCCTGTTTCACTTTGGCCAAGCCAATTTTAAAAGGTTAGCCAGTTGTGTGACAAAATGGGTAAAAATCCTGCCAAATTTCCTAAATATAAACATGTTTTATTTAACTATTTGCATGTCACAGGCACTTCAAGCCGTATGGTTGCATACATGTCAACCTCTTCGAACGTTTTATAAAAAGCCTCAAAAATCTGTAAATTTTGCATAAAATAAAATAAAATAAAAAAACGCACAACTCTCACCCGCGGGGGGTGGGGGTGTCTGTCGGCTGCGGACATGAAAGCGCCTGCTGCGAAGCAGGAGGAGAGGAGTGTGGAGAAAGTTCAAAACTTATTTTTAGCAGCAGAACAGGTTGGAAGATGGCTGTTTGATGTTATTTATTGTTTTTAAAATCATCCTACAGGCTCTGACATGTTAGATAAATTTGAAAAAGAGGTTTTGAAAAAATCTGTAAGACTCGACAAAATTCCTTAGGTTTGCTCTATACGTCCGTATACCTGCAAAATGACGTAAAATCCTTATAACTTACAGACAATCCGTACAAGTTGACATGTGTGTGGTTGGATTGTTGGGTGGCACGGTGGTGCAGTGGTTAGAGCTGTTGCCTCTTAGCAAGATCACAAGTTCATCTCTCATTACCATGTAAAAATTTAGGCTAATTATTATTTTTGATTTGAAATAAACTTATCCGAACTGGCTTTGACGCACACGTTTTTGTCAAATTTAAATGAATAATATGCATTTTGTCTTATTCACCTTTAATAAAATAATAATGATAATAATAATGTCCTCAAGGCATTTCTTATTGTGAATTTCAAAATGTATATAGCTTAAAACTACTAAATGGTYTATATCTAAAAGTTTTAACCTATTTAAATATGTAAATAGTAGAAACACTTACATGAGCTAAACGCTATTAAGATTACCTCTTAAAAAATTSCTGAGAGTTAAAATATTGTTTTTTTGGACCTGTGGATTTTTGTCTTTCTATAATACTGAGTCATGGTCAGCCCAGAGCTAATACATGACACCCTGTGGTGCTTTTTAAGTGCATTTCTTTCCTTKCTATCATCCACTTAAAGCCACAATACGTGGTCTTGTTCTGGCCTCCGTGGAGTCTGAACGGCTGTAATGTGTCCGGTGAAAGTTCAAATGGGTTTCATAGAAGTTTTCTCAGAAAATCAGGGTCCTCCGATGGGGGAGGAGAACCTCAAGACTCGAACTCGCTGTCACTACTGACGGAGATCTCTGGGGTGGAGGCCCCCGTTCCTCTGCGCTCAGCCTCCGTGCTGCAGTCGCTCTCGGGGCTGCCCGGGTGGTGGGGGGAGTTGGGCAGCAGGTGGGGGCGATGGTGGCGCTCCTGAAGGGAGCTGTGGGGCGAGCCKTCAGAGGGCAGGAGGGACGGATCCTGCTGGAGCCTGAGTGGAGGGACAGATCAGAGACGTTAAAGTCAAAGCAGGTTTTTTTTCCCCCAGGATCCCATTTTTATAGATCTCTTAGTTTATTTCCAACATGTAGGAAAAATAGAACAAAAATAAAATAACAAAATGAACATATTGTTAGCCTAATAGCACGATTGCTTAAGACATATTTGGCCACAAATGACTTAGACAATTATGCTATTAGGCTAATGATATTTGAAAAGGAATGGGATAAAGTAAAAACTTATTTAATCCCATCCTTCTCCAAAGCTTACTAAAATAATAATTTCTTCTATTTCCTTATTCTAAATCACAATTTCATTAAGACCGAAACAATAATCAGTTCACCTACTAAATTATATAGCACTTATACATATATGTAAATATAAATCTACACACACACATACGTTTGTATACTTACATACATACACATGCGTCATCGGTATACAGTATGACTTTTCTAGACTTTTTCTCTCCCTTTTTTTCTTTTGTCAAAATATGCATTACCACTATTTTATGTACACCTACACATTCATATACAGTATATATATGTATAGTACATATATGCCTACCCTTTCCATTAACTGATTTTTTTATTAGAGACTTATTGATTTAATAATAGTTTTATTTTAGTCTTAGCTGCCTTGTAAACGTTAAAGCACAAACTGACTCTGAGCTAAGTCTAGAAGAAGAACTTGTGAGTCTCGGTGTCGGTCATCAGCRTTTGTCAGGTACCTGTTCTTCGCCGATGCAGCGCGGTCTCTTTGGCGCCGGTTCTTGAACCAGTTCCCCACTTGTGTTGGTGTGAGTCCTGTGGCTTGGGCTAAGTGGCGTTTCCTGGATGGATTGGGGTACGGGTCCTGGAGGTACCATTCTCTTAACAAGCTGCGAGTTCTTTCCTGCAGAAAAAAAGTCATAAAATATCAAAATTTCWCCTTTTATTTCAGTAACTCAGCATTACTTCCCAGTAATCATTTTGAAAATACCATTCAGCAGCTGTTTGTGCTGTATTATACAACAATAATCTTATCTTTTTTACAGGCTGTTGTGTAAAAGCACATCAGACTGGRTTCAAAAATAGGCTGTTTACATTAGAAGCATATATAACCATGTATGTCCTCTGAATGGGATCATATTAAGAGCTTATAGGGCTGCACAGCAGGCCTGCTTTTGAGCATGGGTGTCCAATCCTGGTCCTTGAGGGCCTCTATCCTGTATATTTTACTTTATTCCGTGCTTCAACACACCCAATTCAGTGATTGAATCATCTGTTCAAGTTCTACTGAAGTCTGTTAATCGCCAATTTATTCAAAGCAAATGTGCTGGAGCAGAGAAACCTCTAAAACATGCCTTACAGTAGCCCTGGAGGAACAGGATTGGACACGTGCTCTCGAGGTTTGGTGTTAAATATGAYAATGAACCATCCTTCCAGCCGCCACAAGAGGGAGATCAAACATACAAACACTTCTTCGAGAGGTTTATGGGATCTTCAACAACAGAAATGTGAAGTAACTGACTTGTGTTACTTGTGTTAGGACTGTTATGGTTATYTTCAAATATATTTTACAAAATGCATAATTGTCTCTGGATAAAAACATTGCATTTAGCAGTTTGATTATCAGTTAAAAAAACAACATTTCTAAAGTGATAATATGGACTATAGTGGAAAAATRGAAGTTTTGAGTAGGATTTAGTCCTGATCATTTAATGATTTGACTAAACAGAATATAAGTTCTAAATTTGAACAAAATCAGGTCTGACAATCATATTAGTGGTTGTATGAAAATACATTTGTAAAATAAATTTTTAAATACAAAAAAATGTCTGATATAGCTACCATATTGGCAGTTTTGATCACCATAATTGTTTGCATAACCATAGCTGGAGCTTTTTGCACAGACTAGCTTTATGACAGCATCATTTTCTTCAAGCGGCATTTTTAAGTATAAAGATGATGACTGTTGGATATCTTTGATCTCACAGCGAAACAACAAGGCTAAAGCAGTTTCTACTTGACGGCAGAAGGATAACTGTGGCTCTGGACATTATCATCTTAARAGCTCAAGGACTACAAGCTGCTGGACAAAGCTGTTGGGCTAAAAATCACCTTCACATGAGTGTAATGAAGTTTTACTATATCTAAGGGATGTTTTTAGATTCTAAACACCTGGAGTCGACTACACAATACATCTGTGTCTGAGTGTTTACCTTAAAGCAGTGCGTCTTCTGCTCGCCATCCCAGATGGTGCGGGGCAGTGGGAACTTCTTGCGAATTCGGTACTTTTCCACGGGCCCCAGTGGCCGGCCCCTGAGCCTTTCMGCCTCTCTGTAGTGTGCATCCAGCCAGAGGTCTTGGAGCTTGGCGTGTGACTCCCGTGTGAACCTGTGGCTCTGGAGGATCTGATAAAGAGCCTCAAAGTTGCCCCTGTGGAAAGCCACCAGCGCCCTCGCTCTCATCACGGACTCGTGCCGGTTGAGGGCCTCCCCGGCAGAGCCAGGGACGGCGGCGGGCAGCGACCAGAGGAACCGACCGAGGCGCTCTATGTCCCCGGTCTCCTCCAGGTTCTCGCACACCCGAGCGACCTGATCCGGCGTAAACATGGGCAGAGGGAACATCTCACCTTCTTGCACGTTCCTCTGAAAYGCTCACAAATGACATTGATTCGTATCTCCCCTCGCAGAGCTTTAAGCTCTTTGCTGTCTTTTTGAAGCCGCTCCAACTTTTTTCACGCCTCTTCTGTGTAACTGGGCTATTCCTGGGATTTGGGCTGATGCTTCCAGGAAAGAAGTGGTGATGCTAACCCTTTTGGAGGAGCAGAGACAAATGAAGAAAGAGGACAAGTAGTTGGCAGTATTTATAGCTAGATGCAATTAGCATCTCCGTAGTTGTTTTGAGAAGGATTAAACATCCCGGCCATTAGCCTCTTAGTGGGGGGTGGTGTGTGCAGAGGTGCCTGGCTGATCAGCTTGTTTGGCTTAGCCTGAGGATACATTGACTGCCAGGTTGACTGGAGTGAGCAAACAAGTGAGGAAAGATTATTTAAAAGATCTGATCTTGAGGATATGTATGCCTGAAGAGCAGACGATGGCCAGAAAGGCTGTGGTTACAGAAACTGTTACGTTTCTGAACAGAAGACAAAAAGTGCAGAATGATCTTCTCCGGCTGAAAACTTAAGGATAAATTTATGGCCCGTATAAATGGTTTTGCTCATAGTTAGGAAAAAATACCATATGCACCTCAACTTTTGGCATAACGTATGGATCAGGACACCAAGTAGTAGCAGCCCCCCACAGGCTAATACCCATGTAATTAAAACAGACATAGGTTGCAGATACACTATCCCCTCTGACTTGTCAAGACATAATGCTAATGCCCCTGGACATGGATGTAAATGGAGGAGCAAGTCAGGACAGTGTTAATAATCTGCGACCCGGTTCAGTCCTTCTGATCTCAGTAGCTCATTAATCAGTCTTAGCGCAATTTTCTTATTAATCAGACTAAGGATCCTGTAAGCATCTGTCAGCCATTGTTCAAACATATTACACTTAATTTGCCCAAAGTAGCCTGAAGAGGAAAAAAAAAAACATAAAAAAATGTGTTCTGAGCAGACAGTCTCAATTAAAAAAGTTACATTTTATTTTACAAAAGACTTCACAAAACCCAGACACAGATTAGTTTAGGTGAGATTATAGCTTTGTWTAAAGGTTGCAGTCAGGTTAAGGTTTGTCTGGTTTGAAACAAGGTGAGGGGGCTAAAAATCTAGTCTGGAAAAAAAAAGATGAGTCTGGCAGACAACAAGAGAGCTGTTCGACAAAAATCTGGATTTACATGTTTTGGTGTCATTTAAAAATACATTCAGAAGTCACATCMATGTGTTTTTATATTTTGTTATTTTTATGTATTCGTAAGTTGTGGGTCCAATACTGCGTCAAATTCCCCACAACCAATAAAGTAAAGAATACTCTGCCACCCCATGGTGCCGTCACAATGATAAACCATCACCACCTTGTTATGGGAACTTTGAGCATTCTCAAAACCTTTGTGGCACTACATCACATAATGATGAGCCACCCACTGGGTTCATAAAACATGCCTGAAAACCTGGCCAAGACCCTACAAAGACTATTTACATTCTKGGATTTGGGTTTACTTTTTTGTTGTTGCTGGCTCGTCATCATTCCAATTAATTGTTGTGTCATTAGACACTTAGGTCTTTATATCTGGCTGTCAAATGAACAGGTAGGACATGCTTGCACTCTGATCATGGCATGAGAGTTACTTGATGCACTAAGTGAGGACCATAATTGTAAAWAAAGGACATAAACAAGGGAGAAAACAAGCAAATGAGACACCACATTCACTTGGTAGTTAGAATCTGTTTCTCAGATAAAGTCAGATGACCTGAGCACTTTTCCTGTTGCGCTCATCGTGGTTTTCCTGCAGTGATGTTTATAGCAGTGGTTCCCAAACTTTTTGTCTTCTGACCCACAAAATATC